GGAAGAGGAACCAGCCATCTGAATGATGGTGCTGGGGAAGACTAGGGGAAGTGCTGTGGGCTGCCCAAAAGGACAAACACATCTCTGTTGGGCAAGGTAGCTCTGCAGCTAGAATGCTCCTTACAGGAAAGGATGATGAGATTTGCCCCACGCACTTTGGACATGTCGTTAGGAAAAGCCAGACCCTGGAGAAAGCCATCAGACTGGGTGCTGTGGGGGGACAGTGACAAGGAGGAAGGCTCTCGAGGAGATGGACGGGCACAGTGGCTGCAACAGGGGGCTGAAGCTCAGAGCACTTGTGAGGCTGGCGCAGATGGGCAGCGTTGGGTTCTGTTGTGCACAGGGTCACTATGGGTCGGGTCAGGACTGACTCAATGGCTCCTCACGGCAACAGCAACAGGACTGGATGGTTGCTGTCCAGTCAGTACTGCTCCGAAGGATGCTCTTGGTTAGGACCTTTCAAAAGCTGCTTGCCAGCTCTTTCTTCCCAGGGGCCCCAGGTGAATTCTACCTGCAGACGTTTTGAGCATGGATAGTGAGGGGTTTAAGAGATGGGTGGAGTTTATCCTGTCAATCAGGTCACAGCTTGATGGCCTCATTTGGTGGTGCTACCAGGATCAATGGCTCCCTGGAGTCGGGCCGGCCACTCTCTCTCTGCCGTCACCTTCCAGGCAGTCCTGTGTGAGCTCTGGAGAGGCACCCACAACCACTCGATCCATAAGACTTTGCATCCACTGGCCTACGATCTTCCTGCACCCTTGCATGTGGTTCCATGAGTCCAGAGAGGGATTTATGGGCTAGAGTTGGACAGATGGACTAGTATCGGACCTATGGACTTGATCCGCACCGGGCTGGGATGTTTGCTTGATGTATAAAGACCTCTGGATGTAAAAATCTCTCTTACATATATATGAGTGTCCTTAGATTTGTTTCTCTGGTCAACCCAGCCTAAGACGGAGCATTTCCCGTATGCATGCTTACACACTTGCATGTTTGTGTATATATATTTGTCTGTATGCATGCGCAAACACAGGTATGTATCTGTGTGTCTATGTGAACATATGTATGTGCGTACACGCATGCTCACATAGACACACGCGGATACGTACGAGTGTATGTGTACATGGATGTGCCTGTGTGTGTGTATTCCACTGCAGTTGAATCTCCTCCCACTCAGTGACCCTGTGGGACAGTCACAGTGTCTCTAAGGCTGTGGTCTTTATGGAAGCCGACTGCCCCATCTTGCTCCCCCAGAGTGACTGGCTAATGGCCTTTTGGCGAGCATCTGGGTTCCTAACCAGGGCTCACACACAGCCACGGTTGCGAGGTATGTGCAGGACCAGGCAGTATTTCGTTCTGTTGCGTGTGGGGGTCCCTATTGGGCAGCACCTCACAACTGCAAGATAAAACTCACCGCCATGGACCCAGTCTGCGCAGACTCACAGTGACCCCAGAGGACGGGGCACACCTGCCCTCTGCGCATTTCTGAGGCTCTCAGTTTCCGTAGGAGTAGAAAGCCTCATCTTCTTCCCTCAGAGTGGCCGGTGGGTTTGAACCGCTGAGTTTGGGGGGGCAGCAGCCCAACCTGTCGCCTTCTCTGCTGCCAGGGCTCCCACGACCAGCTACCAGAGGGAAGGCTGGAAGGCTGGCTGGCAGCCTCAAAGCCCTCCAGCACCTGGTCCCTTTGGGGGATGGAATTGCAAGTCAGCTCCATCGTCTTCTCTGTCTCGGTGCAGTTTCCCAGAACAAACAACTAAACAAACCATTCCCCACCGTCCAGTGGGCCCCGACTGATAGCTGATAGCGAGCCTCTAGGGCACAGTAGAGCTGCCGGGGTGGGGTGGGGTGGGGGTGTCTCTGAGCCTCTGCCCACAGGTGCACATACCTAGCACTTTCTTAACAAGAAGAAAACTTGTTATTCCATTTTGAAAATAAAACAGAGTAACAGAGGTGCGCCCAGAGTACCCCAGAACGTAGACCCCCAAGACCAGTGTGGCTAACAGGAGGGACGGAAGGGATGCAACAGTGCTGTTGGCGGTGCCCATTCCTCAGCCAGAGGAGCCAGTTGGGTCCCCAGATGTCCCCTTGCTGGGGCCCTGGGGTCTGCCTCTTAAAAGAGTCCAGGCAGACATCTGGGGTACACAGGTTCTCCCCCGGACCCCTGGAATAAAGCCACCAGCGCACTGAAGCAGCCCCTGGGGCTTGGCGGTGGGGCGGGTCCTCGGGTCTGTTGCAGTTCAAAACCAGCAGCTGCTCTGTGGGAGAAAGCGGGGCAAAGACGAGGCTTTCTGCTCCCCTGAATAGTTCCAGTCTCTGGGGCACACAGAGGCTGTTCTGCCATCTCCCATAGGGTCAGAACGCTCATTTGGCCCATTGTCTGCAGAGCATATTGACCCCCCAAAACAAACTCTCTGACTCGGAGTCCATGGCCACTCCTAGTGGGCCTGCAGGACAGGGCAGAGCCGCCCTGGGGGCTTCTAAGACCGTCTCACTTTGCAGGAGTAGAAAGCCTCACCTTTCTCCCGAGGGGCAGCGGATGGTTTTGAACTGTTGGCCTGGCCATCAGCAGCCTAACGTGTAACCACTGTGCTACC